ATGAAGATAGCGACGTTCCCTAAAATCATTGACTCAAATACATCGAACCTAAATTAAAAAAAAATAAAGGAGAAAACATAGAGATTAAAAAGAAAAGCAATACTATAAATTTTATATAAAAAAGGGATAATGCTCAAGTACCCCCTCAACCTATGCCCGAAATCTCAGAGACACATTTATACTATACTAAGGTCCTATTACCCCCTGAACTTATTATATTAATAATTTTTTACCCCTTTTTAGCCTACGTGGCACTATCTTGTGGGCCCAATGATGGTTGACTTTTTTTTTAAACTAGTGCCACGTAAGCTAAAAAGGAGTAGAAAATTACTTATAAAATAAGTTCAGTAGGTAATAAGACCTTAGTATAGTATAAGTATATCTCTGAAATTTCTGACATAGGTTGAGGAGATACTTGTAGTATATTTTCTCTATAAAAAAAAGACGATACAACAATAAAATAATATGATAACTGAAATAAAAATAAAATATAGAAGTCAAATAAAATAAAATTAATGGATAATTGAATAAATTACCAGAATAAATTAATAGAATAAAAGTACTGAAATTTCTATAATTAGTTTCTTGTCCTATTTTTGTTTAAAAAGAATAATAGTACTAGCAAATTAACAAATATAGTAATATAACAAACTTCAGACATTTCTGACACAAATTATACATCACATGATTGAACTGTATATTATTACCCAAAAGTCTTAAATTCAAATTTTTAATATAAAATTATCTAATTAAATAGTTATATTTTTTTATTATGAAACTTTTCGATATAAAATTTAAATATATTTAAATCTAATAAAAGTTTGAAATATCAAATGCTAATTCAAAAATAATTATTATAGTGGCAAAAAAAAAGGATAAAGAAAGATGAAAGTTCACATGTGAAATCTACCTTGAGTCTACCCTGTAAAGTTCAAAACAAAACCTATAGTCAATTAAACACTAGTAACTAATTCAAATTTTAATTTTTAATATATTTAACGTAAAAAAAGATAATATTTATATAAAAGTTAAATTTAAATTAAGGAATTTACTTGAACTATAGTATAATTTTTAGCTCTGTCACTATTTACGAGAAACATATACATGATGTTATTATTACAATAAAAATGATCATTAGTAATACGTATTTTAGCGGCAATTATTTCTCTTTGTATGTAACCTTAAAATCTTTAGCGACATTGATTCTAATGACACTTAACTAATATCAATAAAAATTTTAGCATTTTTATTGGTGTCAATATTTAATGTCGATAATTTTTTTTTTAAAGTATTATCATGCATGTTCCACCATGTTACTTTTCTAAAACGTAGCACACAGGATTGTGACATCTATAGATTACTAATGTATCAACCAGTTAACATAATTATACTTTATACTATCTATAATAATATTAAAATTGTTTTATATATAGATATAATATATATTAAATTTCTTTAATTTTTCTATATTTATACTTTTTTATTTCATATTTTGAATTTTTGAATGAAAAGTCTGACTCCATCAATACTAATGATGAAAAGTCAGACGTACATATTTGATACATAACAATTGTTGAAAATATCTCTAAGAAATATATGATAATTCATAATCATAGTCGATATAAAATTTGATTAAATTTCAGAATTAATTATTAATATTACCTTTAAATTGTAGTTGATTAGTTACGTGAATAAACAAAAAAAAAATCAAAACCAAGAATTCACCAAAAAGATGATAACTAACGTAGATTAGCAGTTAAAATATCATAAACTAAATTTATGTAATTAATAAATAAATTATTTTACAAATTGAAATTAGATTTTGAAACTTTACGTCTTTTCCTTCTAACTGCCAAAATTATTACTGTGAATCATTGAACTTTTGTTAACTTACCACAAAAGATTAAGAAGAAAATAAAGAAAAAATATTTATTAGGGATTTGTTTTACTAACCTTTGACATTAGTCATATCATATACTTTTTTTGGTTCCAATTCATGTGAGACGTTTTAAATTTTGAGATTTAAAATAAGTCTACATTTTATCGTAAATATTTTTTGTCTTTTGAGTATTTTTAATTGTCAAATTATTATGACTTGTGATACTTTTACGTAATAAATATCTACATTTCATATAAAAAAAAGTCAAAAGATCATATGCGCAAATTTTTGATCAAAAACTTAAATTGTTTGATTCTCGAAAAATAAAAAATATAACATAAATTTTAAAAAATATATTATTTTTCATATAAGAAAAATGTGATTATTCTACGTATTAATTTAGCCGTTGGGGAAAATGATATCGACCTACATGTTTATTTCTTAATTATAAGCCACCAAAAATATATTAGTTGAAAAGAGTTTTCACATAAAAATTGTCCCACCCAAGAGTCAATGAACTAGTTTGAATCATTTGATAATTGGGTGCTCTATGTTAATTTTATATAAATATCATTTAATTTTTATATATCGAGACGAGATCAACAGGTGTTCGAGCACCCGGACGACAGTATATGTGTCCGGCCCTGTTGGAGTCTACATCTCTTATCGTTCGATTAGATTTTTTCATCGTTTGTGAATTGAAGAAAACCTTATATTGATTATTAAAAAACTTTATGTTTTAATTTATCTAAAATATTAATGTCCTAACATGATTTATCTAATTAATATTTCATATATTTGCTTTTTAAAAAATACATACATATATTTAATGTTTAATGTATGAATTTTTCTTCACATCTAAAATATATAGTCATGGTCCCCTTTCTTTAATCATGTATTTACCAACATTAATTAGGACTATTAAAAGGTTGAGAGATGTGATATAAACAACAATGTGGCTACCATACATTACTATAATAATAAAATTAATAAACAACGGCATGTTACTTGTAGGACTATTCTTTAATTTATCAATTTAGATAATGTAATTAATTAGATACACTAATCACTAAATCATGGATATTATATGGAAAATAAAGACTCGTTTGACCATTAGAATGTTATACTGTGTTTGGATATTGCTATCCATTGTATTGTATTGTATTGTTACTATACCTACGGTGTTTGTTTTGATTGTTACTTAAAATGTATTGTACTGTTAAATTTCGTTGTTACGTAATAATGAAAATCCCTATTTTATGGAACAACCAATTTGGTGTGTTTCTATTGTTACTTAATTTATTTTTTCAATTATATCTTTACATAATATTTTACTCTTTGCCTTAATTATTTAAATATAGTCAAACCTCCTACCCTAAAATAATTAAGGACACTTAAGCAAATTTATAAATTACAACACAGTACGATACAATCAAACCAAATAATTAAAATGTTATTAAACAATAAAAAACAATACAATCTAATTAAACATTGTATCTTACCATACAATACAATACAATACAATATAGTACATTATGAAACAATGGGTAACTATGATCCAAACAAAATGTTACTATTTTTCTAGAAAAATTTTCCTATTTTATTTAAATTGATGTTTGATTATGAAAATTTTAAATATGACTTAATTGCATGATATATTTCATATAAATATCCGAAATTAAACACGTAAATTATTTAATTCTGGCAGCATTCTTTGATAATTGCGATATTAAATTTGTGAAGTGCCCCCTATAAATAAAATTTAAAAGCATGATAAAGTGAAATGCTTATTCAATATAACATAGATACATTAATATTGTTGGAACATGTTAATTAAAATTAAGAGAAAAAAATATATATAATTAATTAAAAAGAAAAATTAAATTATTTTAATCCAATTTTTTCTTATAAAAAAAGGATTTTATAAAATCAAAACGTAATCCAATCCTTACCTAATACTAAGTCTTCAAAAATCAAACTAATCACATAACATATTTCTTCAAATTTTTTAAAAATCAAATAGGAACATGTTTTTTTCTTTGAATTCTAATATATATTATCTCGTAGGTTAAACTTAATTAGCGACACTAATATATAAATATTTTTTTTTGTCTTAAATTATGTGATCTAAATAAAATCTAAAAATATATTAAACTTTTAGAAATATCATTGATTAAAAACAGGTATATCGACAAATAGTTGTTGGTTTCCATAAAATAGTAATTCTTTGTTATAGCCACTTTTATATAGTATTTTTTTTTGCTCTATTTATGAGATTCTTTTTTATTTTTAGTTCTAAAAATGAATATCACAAATTATGATTAATAACAATTTAATAAATATCTATTTTACTATGAAATAATGTATAAATACATAAACATATCGTAATTTATTTTAAATTATAATTTTTTTTAATAAAAAGTCTTCTTTTTCATTTTTAGACCATCATTTGAAAAAGTTCTAATTTTTTTTCTTAAAACTACGCCAACGGAGGGAGTAGCAATTCATCCTTCTTTTAATTATATTATAATTATATATAGATTTTTTAATACAAAATCACTTTCATAAAACACTTCTCCATTACACGCGTCAAAATTCTACTTTTTCTAATTCTATTTTTATTATTTTCTTCCATAAATCTAATGCCACCAAATCAAAATGAATTAGTGATATACTTACTAGGATTATTCCATCATTAATCAAAATTTTCGAACTCAAATTTTGAATATGAAGAAAATCATAATAAAAGTATTATTGTCAAATGAATCGTGTCGTATAGTGATCAGAGTATTCAATTAAACACCCTTCATCAAAAAAAAAATCATATATATAAATAAAATGAACGCGAAATAGTTAATAAATATACTTTTGACATCTTAATATAACAAGTTGTCATAGCTCAATAGTTCACCTCCTTGGAATGAGTCTGTGTTTGTGTGAATTTATTATTTACTTCTACACATCCTTCGTAAAATTCCTGACTCAGTATGTCACAATTTAATTGAGCTTCAATACGGGTTCACGAAAAATAAAAAGCATTGTCCACGTGGAAAATCAATTTCAATTTCAATTACACTCTCTTATAGGTGCGCGTGTTGACCACTTACCTCCACTAGTGTCTATTTCATTGTCCCTGTATTCTTCTCTTCTGCTCTTCAATCTCTCTCTTTTCAGTCTCCCTCAGCTTCTTCTTCTCCAAAAGAACAGCTTTTTTTTTTCTCTGAGAACCAATCACAGCCGTTGATCATATCACCGGTGTAGATGTGTGTGTACATATAGATTACACATATATACACACATTTATTCATGGATTTATCAAAACCCCTTTGAAAGTTTGCATCTTTTTTGTTTGGTATGTTTCCAACTTTCATTTTTTTTTTCGATTTTTTTTTTTGTGTAATGTTTGTTTTGGGTATATGGATTTCTGAGGGATACATTTTTTTTTGGGGGAAAAGTTAAGGTTAGTGATGTGATTGAGGGAGAGAAACGATGGGAAGTACTGAAATTTATGACCCCCTTTTTGGATTTGAGATCAAAATTTCAAAATTGAAGCTTTCACATGTTAAAAATTTGATCTTTGCTTTTGGTTGTTAAGAATTTTAAGTATAGGTTTTCTTAAATTTCACTTGGGAGTGTTTTGGTGACCCTTTTGGTGGTGATGGTGGAGTAGTTTGTGTGTGGGGTTGGATTGGTGGGTGGTGGTGGTTAGGGTTAAAAAGACTTTTGAATCTTGTGGGGTTAGACTAAAGTTATGTAGAATGTATTCAAATGTCTTTTTGTCATGTTGTTTTACCCATGTTGCTTGGATAGTTAGAATTGAAGAGTTTTCAAAAAGAATAAACAGACTGAAAAGGAATGTAAGACGAATAAATTGAATCTTAGGGAGTAATTGTTTTGTACGTTGTGAGATTACATGGGGTATTTTGTTGTTGTTGTTATTTAACTTTTTATTGCTTAAGTCCACTGTTTGATTCTTGTCACTAATTACAGGTTTTAGTTGTTAGTAGTTATTCTTAGTCTCCAGTTGCTGTTTTTTGTTATCTTTTCTTTCGGATTGAGTTTGCCATGTTCTTAGGTGGGTGATGATTTTTGGGAAATTACTAATTTTGCTGCTTAAAAAACAATTCATTGCTAAAACTCGGATCTTTATGAGGTATCAATGAGGTTGTGGAAGTGAGAAAAATATGAGCTTGTATAGTATAGGACATTTGTCCACAGTTCAGTTACTTCCTTATGTACAATATGTATAATTGGCTCATTTTCTATCTTTGTTGTGGAGAGATAGGTCATATTGGATATGCAGGAGTTAATGTACTAATTGTTTTGTACATTGGTTTGTGATTTTGGTTCGTGTAATTTGCAACATTAAGATGGTTTTGATGGTCTATTGTAGTGAAGCTGGTTTCTAGGCGCTTGTCTAGTCGTGCTTCTTCTTCAGTCACCATTCTCCAGTAAATGGGCTGCTTTAATTCTAAGGTGAAAAAGCAGTTCCGTGGACACGAAGATCCTATTGCCCTTGCATCCCAAACAGCGTGTAAGTTACTAATTGATGCTTTAAGTGTGTACATATTATGTGATACATTTTGAACTTGTCTCCCCAATAAAGTGATGCATTGAATAAGCAGAGTGTTTCAAAATAGAAGTCTAAGTAATGATCTCAAGTTTCCTCTCCATTTTTTAAGGTGCTATCACCATATTCTTTGTTTATGCGTTGTTTGGAGTGTCTGTAGTTTCCTCCTCGTATTGGAGGAGGCACGATTATTATAGCGTTCTCCTATCTTAAAAGATCTGCAATAGTTTGAGCCTTGAGGTGTTTATATCCGTGGATGGTGAGATGAGTTTGTGAGCTTGATGACGAGGAAATATATGAAAGAAGATGCAGCATAACCGACCTAGAAAGATGAAAAATTTGAAGGAGATTTCACCTAAAATGTAAACACGGATGTCTTGTGATCTATGCAAAAGATTTCCTGTGTAGTTCTAAGAAATAGAACCAAAAGGTACTTGTTTTACAATCTTCCAGTGTGGGCTCTATCCTTAGGTTTGTTGTTTTTTTCTTACCATGTTATTTCATTTTTTCCCTTGTTAATTTTAATTTTTAATTGCCTAATGTCTGAGAGTTAAAACATTAGACAGTTGTAGCGCGTAGTGTGCTTACACAACTGGGATTCCTTTCTAGTATCCAACCCTCCTTCATTCCTTTCATTTATTTGTTTGACTTTCTCTTGTTTTCTGCTTTGCAGTTAGTGTTAGTGAAGTTGAAGCATTGTTTGAGCTGTTCAAGAGTATCAGTAGTTCGGTAATTGATGATGGGCTAATAAGCAAGGTAATTCTGCTAAACTGATGAATCTAATCTTGTTGGTGGTTTTTAGTGAATCCTGGTGCATCCTTTCAGATGAGTTTCACAATTATTACTTTCATAACTTTGGCATGTGATGTCTGTGTCTCTAATCATCACATGTTCACTGTTACACAGTTCTCTTTTTTCTTTTCCGTCTTTGTAATTTATAGTTGATCACCGGAAGGGGTAGCTTTAGAAGATTTTTTGTATTGGTGACGATAAATTGAAATGCATTTTGTTATTTACGGGTATTCCAGAACAAACATTTTTCGATGGAAAAGCATTGAGAAAGTTTCCTTGGCAATGCCTAAATGGTCGTCCTGTTGTCTCTTATTGTCATTTTTCCCGGGCATGAGGTAAAAGTTATTACTTCCCTAGATATTTAGTTCGTAGTTCTTGTCACATCCCACACTTGAGGTTCTTGAGAAGGTATTTGCTAAAACCGTAGTTTAGTAGACAGCTGAACTTTCATACTTGGGCGTTGTTTACCTGCCTTTTGGCAATACTACAATTCAGCATTACATTATGTCGCACAGTTCTCTTTGGAGGCAATCTAATTGTATAAATAGTGACAATGTTGTTATACTATTGCTTCATTTTTCCTTTTAAATAAAAAAGATAAATATAATTTTCTTTTCCTAGATGTTGAGTTTCATGTGGTCTGTCATATTATACACCTTAAGGTCCTAAGAAATTGTACCTCTATTGGTGGGAAGTGGCACGTATACAATTGATTAGTGAAAGATATGCAGAAGTCTACTCAAATTCCATTGTTATTTAAAAAAGAAGGATCCTTGGAAGTTATAAAATATTTGCTTAAACTGCATGGTTGTTGTAGACTGAAGCGTCATTTATATTGGCGGTTTTTGGGTCAGTTTTCGCATACCTTTACTAATTCATTGGACACCCTGTCTAGCCCACAAACACATGTTACTAGCATAATTCTGCCCACTAAGATTGGAGCAGGTGGGCTCACAAGTCTCACCTAGTATAGCAGGTAGGATTTGAACCTGGGACCTCCCAAGTTTTTGTGTCCATGCCTCCACCACTATGCTATCCATTTGGGGTCGGGGACATGGCTGAAGCATCATATAAAACTTTGTTGGCTGAAGCATCATATTATAGCTTTGTTTGCAAATCTTTTGGCTTACTGCAAATTCAGCATTATGTGTTCTAGTGCAGTTTTCCTTGAAACAATATAACCGTGATATTACTGTACATGTATTATATATTTACTTTCGATGATTAATTAATCAAAATATTAATATACTTCTTCTTATACGCTAAAAAATCATGGTGGATGTGCAGGAAGAATTTCAGTTGGCTTTATTCAAGAACAGAAAGAAAGAAAACCTTTTTGCCAATCGGGTAGGATACTTCATTGATTCTTTGCGTCAGTTCGTTTTGATAGAATACTGGTTGATTAGCTCTCTATGAGACTTTTATCATCCTATATTACAGTTCAGGTATACATTTATTGTTATGCGTATAAGTTATAACAACAAATTCTGGTGATTATGCGATCACATGCAGAGTTGGCAACATATTATGTTAATGTATATTTTTGCATGACCAGCTACTAAATTTTATTGAATTATGGGATCCTAATTTTCCTTTGGAACTCTCTGCTCGTAGATTTTTGATCTCTTTGATGTGAAGCAAAAAGGGGTCATTGATTTTGGTGATTTCGTGAAGGGACTTCATGTCTTCCACCCAAATGCACCACAAGAAGAGAAAGTCAATTGTAAGTTAAAGAAAAGATTACTATATATTTGCCGGTTTGACGTGTTCAATTGACTGTATTATTAGCACAAAAGTAGTCTTATTGAAACTCAATTTTCTCTGCCATGCAGTTTCGTTTAAGCTTTATGATCTAGATGGCACAGGGTTCATTGAGAGGCAAGAGGTATCTCATTATTTCCTTGCATACTTTCTCTTTTTTCTCTGTGGAAAAGCAACTTTATATAAGCATCTCATAATTGTTTGACTTGCTGAAGATTTGGAGTTGTGTCTGTCATGTTGCCTAATTTCTTTATGGCACTGAATGTAGTTCTGTCCGCTGAAACGAATAAGATCCCTTTCATCTTATTTTGTCTAGAGAGCATAATGAATGCTCCCCAGTTTTTCTGCAGTTGATAGTTAAAAAGCCAAAAACTGGGGAATCTTAGTTGCTCAGTTAGTTGGTTTGCTAACTGAATATCACCTGTTGGTGAGGGTTCAATGCCCACCTTGTAATCCCCTCATCCATTCCACTTCCACTACCCCTATTTTTTTCTTGAAATAAGCCAAAATTTTTCTTTCCTTTGGCACTTGTAACCATGGACAGTAGTCACTTTAAGATATTTTATGACCAAACACAGAATTGATTACAACTCACTTGTCCCTTTTCCACCAGAAAATGAGTATGAAGCTGTTAAGAGATATAGAGCTTGAACTTTTACTCAACCGGTATAGCTGTCTCAAGTGAGGTTGCCCATGACTATATAAAAGATACGACAACTTATGTCCTCAACTAATATGCGAGTCTGTATCGTTAGCCGCTTTGCACAGGGGAGGCCCCTTGTCGAGTGATTCTCCCCCAAAAAAGTCTACATGTGATGTTCCAAAAACAGAAACATATGTGATTTATTAATTTTGAAGTCTACATGTGATGTTCCAAAAACAGAAACATGTGATTTATTAATTTTGAACCCATTGTTCAGTGTAACCGGGGAACGACTATCAACTAGTTTGAAAAGCTCTTCCATTTAGTAATGGAAGTTATCCGTTGTCACTTTCTAAGGGTATTGTAGAGAGGCATGTTACCAATTTTAAAATGGTTTGGTAGAGAAGCTAGAGAAGGTGGACAATCCTTTAGTGAAGGATTATCCCGCGCTAGCACATAACTGAACATGTGATCCAATAGATTAACCCAACATCATGGATGGCTATGGCATATTCAACTATGTGTGACTACCTAATCAAAGCTGTAGTTATTAGAGGGTCTATGTCTATTAACGTTATTATGTCTTCAAACATCCTCTCTTGTATATGCTTGATTCTTTTCAAAGGGCAATCAGTGGATTTTTTTAATTATTTTCATTGATAATGGGTGCTTGAAAGTGAGACATCTTGGGACCTTTGCATGTTCTTATTCCATATTAAGAAACTTAATTCAGGCCTTGGGACTAACTGCAGCCACCAAACTAGCCCCAGACCTTATAAAGAAACTAGAATTTGACACCCTTGATTAATGTAAGAAACTTTAACTGACACAGAGGCAATGATAATATCAGAGGGCAACTTGATTTTTTCTTTCTAGGAATAGAATACCATTCAATATTTACTATTCCCTTCCTGGTCTATTTTTCAGTTGCTTTCTGCCTTATATTTAGGTTGTAATATCACTCATACGAGATGCACTTATCAAAAAAGGAGTTGAAAACTTTTGTACAAGATTTTACCGAGGCATTTCCATCCATTTAAAGCTTGTATTTACTGAGTGGTTTGTTCGCCTAAATACAATCAGTAGCATTCCCGCCCTTCTCTCAAAATTCTTTGCAGCTATCTAGGACTCTGAAGCAGTAGGTTTCTGGTCTATTTACTTTTACCTTCTACGGTTGATGAAGGCTTATGCCAAGATCATACAATGCTATAACTAAATTTTTGTTACTAGTTTGATGTGTACATGTTTTTTAATTATCTGCAAACAATTTGGCAGGTTAAACAAATGTTGATTGCACTTTTATGCGAGTCTGAGATGAAGTTGGCTGATGAGACCATAGAGAGTATACTGGATAAGGTAATTTACAAAATTACTCGTTAAACTTACACTGTCGTAGACAGCCATAGAAACCTATATCGTTCTGTCTTAGAAGAGGGCCCCCGAGGTTAAGAGACCAAATTCATTTTGCATTACCAGGAGAGGGCAGTTCTCATTCATGGAACTGTTTCCTATCTTTTATCGTTCTCATGGAATTTTGGATCACCATAGATCGTTACCTCTATATGTAGACTTTTGTGGAAGCAGACTCAAATCAGGATGGAAAGATTGACAAATCCGAATGGCAGATTTTTGTGAGCCAAAATCCTTCACTACTAAAGATAATGACACTTCCCTATCTAAGGTAAACCACAGTTTCTCAACTAATACATCAGGAATACATTGGCTGCTGACGTTATCGTCTGATGAGACTTGTGTTTTCCGCAGGGATATTACAACTACTTTTCCTAGTTTCGTCTTCCATTCTGAAGTTGATGAAGTTGCTACATAACACTAGGAAAATGTAGTTCATTTTTTGTTTTTCTAGCTAATTCGACGTGTGAAGTGTTGTTCGATTTTTGGTCTTATTTTAGAGTTCAGGAAGTTGAGCTGATGATAATCCTAAAAAGTGTATATCACGTCGTGTAAAGAGGGTTCCACCTTCCTATTGCAGAGTGATTTTATTAGATCTAGTTATTGTGTACTTTTATCAATCAATCTTCTCCCTTTACATGCTATAATTGTAATGCATATGTTAAAGGTTGCATTTTAAAATACAATCGATAAAATTGGAACGATACAGTGAAGATTACGTATATTTCATTTCTTGTGCAAGGATGTATCCAAATTTATGTCCCCATAGCAATCCTAGAATTAAATAAAGCCAACAACATAATTGAAAATTCTTATTAATATTACTAGTAAAATTACGCGCGGGAATTTAATATTATAGAATTTATAAAATATTTTATTTAGAACTTATCAATCATTAATATTAATATATTATATTATTTTATATACAAGATTATGTAGTAACACACATTAATAATGTAAAGGAAAATGAAATTGATTACTTCTTATTATTTATCCTTAATAACATGTGCATAAAGTAACGATCGTAAAAATACATATCAAGATTTGTAATATAAGCAATGGTTTTTAGTGAGCTACTCAGCGGGAACAACGTACACAAATATGTAATTATGAGGAGGCGGATGCAGAAGACGAAGAGGAGAAGGAGGTTTAGAATTTTCGTTGTTTTAAAATAAGAGTAGATCCCTCTATTTATAGTCAACAATGATAGTGTAAACAAATGTTTATTATGCCTTATCGAAAATGTTATAAATATTTGAAAAAGTTGGAACAATTCGGAAAGGTCACAACATTTTATAAAAGTTGAAACTCTTAACTAAAATTGCAACTTTTCATAAAAGTCACAACTTCTCATTAAAGTGACAACTCTTCATAAATGTCGTAACTCTTCATAAAAGTCATAACTTCTCATAAAAGTCACAACTTTTCATTAATATCGTAACTCTTCATAAAAGTCACAACTTTTCATGAAATGAAAAGACTAGATTCAAAAATAAATAAATTTAAAAGGAAATTCTCTAATTTGTGGTGACGCCACGTAGGCAGGAATCTATAAAGTTTTGAATATGCTTTTATTATTTGTATAGATGAGAAGAAAAAGTAATCTCCTCTGAGTGATCTACATTTTATCCTCCCTTTTATTTTAAAAAAATAATGATTTACTCATTTTTAATATGTTTAAAAAAAATTAATTTATTTATTTTTGCAATACCTTAATTAATTACAGGCTTGCAGCTAGATCACAAGATTAAACGTTATTTTGATTTATTTGACATAATTTTGATTTAAGATCATAAGATTGAAAAATCTTCTTTATTTTCTTAAATTTCATATCAAATCAAATTAGGACATTCTTATTTAAAAGAATGGAGTACATACATATGTATATATGTCTTTGGCTATAGTTGCATTCATGAAATTGACGTACATATACTAACAAGAGTTGCGATGGAGTGGTAAGTATTCATTTATCCTTAACCAAGAGATTTCGGATTTGAACCCCTTGAATACAGAGTCACCTTTCTTTTCAACGCGAATCCAATTTTAGTCGGACTCGAACGTACATACCGAATATCGGGGCAGGAAACAACAAAGAAATTGAAGGACATATCAATCCTCATGCTGCACTATATTTAGATATTTCTCAGAAGTTGTAATTTTGGTTGCCACATTTCAAAAATAACATTTGTCTGAGAACTATAGTTGATTTTTTTTGTTTTTATTTTTTGGTTAAATTACAGCTAATGTTAGTTGGTTAATAAAAGGCATCTGGTCCATTTAAAGGACATGCAATTCATTATGAGGGGGATCATTTACAAGAAGAAAATAGGACAAAATAAAAAGGTTAATATTATATTTTTAGCGGGTCAAGTCATTAAAGTCGTTTAAATAATTTTTTTTTTATGTAATATTGTAAATTCCATCTTATAAAATTTTAATAAAGACATCAATTTTCTCAAAAAAAAATAAATAAATATGGTGGTCAACGGTGGCGTAGTCAGAAATTTTACGAAGGGTGTCCAAAAATGTCATAGCTTGTAAAAATAATTTAAAGAATAGGTGTACTTAAATTTTGTAAATCAAACTACGTAACATTAATGATTAATTTTTTTAAAATTAAAATTAAAATGTACCAAAATTTTTAAAAATCACACTACATAATATTTAGCTTTAGTATTCCCGTTTATGTGATAGGAAGTGAATAAACAAAGAAAAAGAGAGATATTTCAGTTTAGAGTGAAATCACTTTTATGCTTCAACATTTCACAAACCTCCGATGACTAACAACGAGAAATGAAAAATAAATAATAGAATCAAACGAGTTAGATTAAAAGAGGATTTATATAAAGTATTTTCATTTTTAGTAGCTTAATGGAATAAATAAATAAATAAATAGGATTTGCTTATTAACTTTAAATTAAATAATTCTTTTAAATTTTATTTAAATTTTTAATGAAAATAAAAAAGATTTTCTTATTTACTTTAAATTAAATTATTATTTTTAAATTTTTATGAAAAGAAAAAAATCAAATCAAATAATGGGAATCGAACTTCTGCAAGCTGCAAAGAACTTACTAAGAGTTGAACGACTGAAATCACTAAGCTAGAAATTTTTTATTGTTTTCAAGGGTGTCAATGTGTTATTTAACCATTTAAATTATTATTTTTCTTATAAATATAATGTAATTTTCTGACGAAGGATGTCCAATTGGACACCCTAGCCAAAGGTAGCTACGCCCCTGGTGGTCAAAGGTGAGGAGAAATGGTAAAATATGTCAGAATGACATAGTGAAACCTGACATGAGAGGTTTAAAATGAACAAAATTTAGTGAAGTGTCTAAGTTAAAGTTGATATTAACATAAAATGACTACCGATGAATTCAACCTCGTAAAGGAGTAGACATTTATGAATAAGTATATATTACTCTCTTTGTTCCAATTTATGTGGCACATATAGAATTTCAAAAAATTAACCATTTTTAATATGTATTTTAAATATATTAAGTAATTAATTATTATATTTATAATTTTTAAACGTAATTTTTAAATAATATATGTTACTTCCCATGCTCCAATTTATGTGGCATTTATTAATAATTTTTTTGGAGTTGAGTTATTTTTTTTTGTTAATTATTGTAAGTTATAATATTTTTTCCGTCAATTTAAAACAATATATGTGTATCATGTTACCCACTATATTCCATTTATAGAGAGATGAATAGTAGTTCTTTGTAATTATTTTCTAATTTAATATAACATGTAAAATATATTATTTGACAAATTACTACTTCCAATCAAATTAATAATTTTTCTCTTTTTTTTAAAAAAAAATAGGACTTTAAATATGTAATTTAAAAATTATTTTAATATTATTTATATTATATAAGATTATTAATTAAGTCTCTAATATTTGTAGTTATTTTATAAGTACTATAATAGCTAAAAACATATTATTATAAGTATATCAATTTCATTTCGAATTGATAATTTTTTTAATTTGATTTTCTTTTTTAAAAAAATATTCCAATTTATACATGTGATTTAAAATTATAATTACTTTTCATAATGAAGAATGCACAAACATTACATGATAATTTCAACAATTTACTTTTGCATTATAGTGATAAATTATTATACCATAAGTATGAAAATACTTGACGCAATAATTCAAAATGAAATAGGGGAAGTAAATTAGTATAGGAAATAATTAGATACAAATGACATTGTTTTTTCAAACAAGTTTTAGCTACAAATAAATAAGATAAGGACAAAAAATTACTTATTTTGAACTCCGCAATGCATCAATATAATAGATCATTTATAACATAAACATAATAGTCTTGAAAGTTGAATATATATGTAAAAATTTAATAACTTTTTCAATGATGCAATAATTATTATGTATTGCTGTAACGACCCGTTTAGTCGTTTTGATCAGCAGACTTTATTTCTGGAAAAACTGGCAGAAGCGACGGACCCCACGACGGACCGTCATGGGCACGACGGACCGTCGCAGGGTCTCGTTTCAAAACACTTAGGAAATCTGAAATTGGGTACTGAAAATCGACTCTCTGAACTTTGTGACGGAATGGCAGGACGGACCGTCACAGGTGTGACGGACCGTCACAGACCCTTGGTGGAAATATTGGGTCTCTAAACTCTGCGACGACCTGCAGGACGGACCGTCGCAGGCACGACGACCCGTC